GTGAGTGCCACCCAGAGGTGTGAGTGCGGGTCCCAGAGCCCACTGGGAAGCAGCTCTATAGGGGAGAGCTAGATGAGTGGCATTCTACCCCGGGATGTAGGTCTTTAGCAAAAAATACTATTGCCTTGTATTTGTTTGACAGTTTGTAAAAATCATTTTTTTATTTCATGGTTTAATTTTCCTATATAAAATTACATGTTTTTCTCATTTTCAAGTAATAGTTATGATTGAAATTTTGGGAAATTTAGTAAAGTATTATGACGTAACTGAAAACCACCCCAATCCTGCTACATAGTAACAGCCATTATTAATTGTTTTAATTAAAAGCATGTGTTATATGTAACAGAAGAAAAAGGAAAATAAAACTAAAGGAATTGCTAACCTTCAAACAGATGATTTTTAAATGTGATAGTAATACTTAGAGGATTCTCTAAAGTTTGAAAAATTATGAAAAACAATTTTTTCAACATGTTAAGTTTTAAAGAAGTAAAATTTAAAGTTGTCATAAAATCAGAATTGATTTCTAAGTAAATAAAACTTTTTTAAGGCACAAAAAGACTCAAAGATTAAAATCTAAGTCTATTTTAAGGATTATTCTTCAACAGACGGTCATAGGGAAAATGTTACCTATAAGCAAAATATCCTTTAAAGGAAACTTCACCTTCAGACAAAGAATGAATGTGTCCACTTCATAGCATTTTAAAGCACTTTCACATATGTGCTCTCATATGATTCTAACAGCAGTCACCTTGGGGAGTGGGCTGGACAGAACGCAGGAGCTCCAGGTGACAGATGGGGAACCAGCAGCCCGGGTGGTCTACTCAGGGTAACAGAGTGAGTCAGGGGCAAAGCCAGGCAGTCTTTGTTTTTCCACATTCAGTCTTTGACTCTTCCCTCAAGGAAATACTGCCTCCCTTTTAGAGAAAATAAACCTGATTATAATATCTGTGTATAACTCTTACAGAATTTTCCAATCTCTTTCTCATTCACTAGTAATACAATTATAGCCAAGAACATATCTTGTGCTAAGCACTGCTGCCTGTCAACATTATGATGGGAAGGTACCATTATAATCTGCATTCTTCTACAGAAAAGAAAATTGAGGCTTAGTTAATAACAGCTAACAGTTAATGAGGTATTATGTGCAGGGCATTGTTCTAAGCACTTTATATGTATTAATTCATTTAACCTTCACAACAGTTTTGAGGTCAGTATCTCAGTTATCCTGATCTTATAGAATAGAAAACTGACCTAGAGAAGTTAAATTACTTGTTCAAGGTCAACATAGCTGCAAGTTGCAACTTAGAAGCAAGAGGCGAAGTCAGCCTTGGAACCCCTGCAGTCTTGCTTCATGCTTTTTACCACTGAGTTGTAATGCCTCCCATTTTAATCTAAAAACCACATAGTGAGGGGCACACAGCAGGGATTATTACCCTTCTTAATCTAGTTCTTGGCTTCAATAGGCCATCTTCTAGGCTATCTTCAGATTGAGGAAGAGTGCTTTTATGTGTATCCATAGACTTCAGCACACGCAAAGGCCTGCCCTTGATCGAGCCCTTTACTAATCTGTTCCCATAACTGTTACCTACGCTGAGTGGAGGAATCAGCCTGATCCTGCTTTCTGTTAACAGTTTCCATATGGAGCCTCTGTAAATGCTCAAAGCTTCAACTCCTAGATTAAAATTACAAGAGAAAGAAAGATCCCTCTGGTTGCAGGAACAGGCATAGTACTTATGAGAAAAGATTCAGTACTGACTGGTTTGGGAATGAAGACAGACTAAAGAATAGATGAGAAAGCTGGAAATAACTTACAAAAGAAACACAAATGGACTATCAACCACAGGGAAAAAAATGTTTAAACATACCATTTATATCAGCCAAGGTTCTCCAGAGAAACAGAGCCAACAGGAGATATGTATATATATATATATATATATATATATATATATATATATATATATATATATATATATATATATTATAAACCTGTAAGGCAGTCCAGGAACAGTCTTGAGGCAGAATTCTTTCTTTGGGAAACCTCAGTTAAGGCCTTAAGGCCTTCAGCTGATTGGATAA